AACAAAACTGGAAATTCTAGAATTGGACGAACATTGGAATGATAATTTATAAATATGAAGGATTTTTTTTTTATAGAATGTTTTTTCAACTTTCATTTCTCGTGGGAATTTTTCTNAGACTTTCATTCCATCTTAAACGAATAGATGTAGTTCGAAGGGAAAACTCATATTTAGACGAGAACTTATCAAATAAAACTGAAAAGTTTAAAATTGGACGAACATTGGAATGATAATTTATAAATATGAAGGATTTTTTTTTTATRGAATGTTTTTTCAACTTTCATTTCTCGTGGGAATTTTTCTGTTGAAAGAGATAGGGCGCCAGTTGCGTATATCTTTCTTGGACCCTTTTTTGTACAGTAAAGAAATAACTCCTTCTAGCATACCCGGGGGGAGAGCCTCGCCCAAAAGGACATTATTAAATAGATCAGTAAGAACGGGGCCCAGTGTGTCCCACAAGGCCAAAATGAGCTCAATGGGGAGGCCATCTGGACCCGGGGCTTTGCCTGCCGCCATAGCCTGAGCAACAACCATTAGTTCTTCTGTCGAAAGAGGGCGGTCCAAATTGAGGGAAATGTGAAGTGGGGCTCTTTTTTCTGAATATTTCCAGAAGTCTGAAAAGTTACGCAAGTCTGTGTCAGGCTGATTGAAAGGGCGACGTGTGGTAAGTATATCACTGAAGTTCTCCTTAGCGTATTCACACATTTGCAGGGCACTCTCAGCCGGCGGTGCAGTGAGTGAGAAGGGATGATCCAACTGCTTCATTAACGGTCTAGAGTGGGCCTTCAACAAAGATTGAAAGGTATCCTTAGTCATGCGATCGTAGTGGATCATACCCTTAATTCTTAGTCAGTCCTTTCGTTGTTCTTCTAGTTTGAACTCATGCTGCTCGAGAGTGACCAAGGCCTCCTGTCTCTTTAGGTACCAATACAGGTCTGAGACCGTGTTAGTTCCCAGCTTCTGTTCCGCACATGAAATGGTAGCCCTCAAATCCTGAAGGGCTTTGTGTGCCTTTCTGCTTTTCATTCGTGAATAAAAACTGCAGGCTTCCTGAAGCGCAGCCATTAAACCATCGTACCATAATTGGGGAGAGGCACACAATGTACGGGTTTTATTCCAGTTTTGGTTGATTTGGTTCAGCCATTGGATCAGAGCCTCATCCTTGAGATGAGACACATTTAGCCTGAAATAGCCGGGGCCTCTGTCAGGATCTCCCCCCAGCTGTAAGTCAAAAATTACGGGGGAGTGGTCCGAAAGTGGAGAGACTCCTACTCGGGCCTCCAAACAGTTCGACCAAGGAAGGCCTTTCACGAGAGCAAAAGCCAAGCGTCCAGCCAACATCGCCCCCTGTGCGGACCCAAACCACGAGAAGCCATGGGTGTCCGGATTCAACTGTCTATATGCATCTGTTAATCCGAAAGAATGTATGAATTCGTGTAGTAGCAAGGCGTCCTTCCACACTGGTTGAACCACAGGTGAGTCCAGACCCGGAACTAAAACTGTGTTCCAGTCTGCAGCCAAAATAAGATTGTCTGAGTCTGGAATTATTTCTGGAAGATCTGCGATAAATCAGGCTCGAGCATTAAACTCCCCAGGTAGGTATAACGACATAATGACCCAAGGTACCGAGTCAATTTCCACTTTGACCCAGCACCAGCGCCCAAAAGCATCCGTCAGCGAATCAATAACGTCAATTAAGAGGTCTGGTCGAAACAGGATGGCGGTTCCACCCTTGGAGCCCACTGCGGGGGCCCACAATTGAAACCCTGACCACCACTGCAGCATTTCCCTAATTTTGCCATCGTTCAATTTGGTTTCTTGAAGACAGAGGATTTTGACTCCATTTTCGAACATCCAGCTACGTAGCCTATTGCGTTTATTTCTGTTTGCAGTATCTCCTAAGCCCCTGACATTCTAGGTGGCGAAGGAGAGCCTACTACGCATTGACCCCAGGCTGTCCGGCTACTGGCTGGATCCGGTCTGAATTGCCCTGCTGTAAGGACGATTTACGGCGCCTCATGGGTTTCTCCTCAGTGTTAGGCTGGGGAGTAGACCAACTGGCCCGCAGAACGGTGTTCAAGGTTGACGAAAGAATTATATTCCTGTTGGACGACTGAGTTAAGTATGCAGCCGCAGAGCGGGCCGTCAGACCATCCACCAGACTGATCTCCCTTAAAATGGGGTTCTTTGGATCCGACAACTGAGCAATCTGCAGGTAGGACGCACCCAGCTCCTTTAGTTGATCTTTGTTCAACGGCCGGGCGTCCAGAAATGCATAGAAGAGAGCAAGTTTCTTCCCATGGTTTGAGATCAGATGTCGAGTTAGCTTAATCCCGCGAATCAACCTGCTCCTGAACTTATTCTGAACTTGTTGTGACAGAGCTCTCCGAAGGATCTTCCGAAGGGCTCGAGACCGGAAGGAACTTCCTTTTCTGTTGGTCCTCAAAGGTCAGAGCCAACGGGCCCTGAGCCGAGGGGACACAGAAAATGGAGACAACGTGCTTTGTAGCCGTTTCCCCTTTACTCAAGGTAGGGGCAGTAGGAACCGTAGCCAACGTAAGTGATTGCGACTTTGAAGTGGGGACTTCCTCAGGCTCCTGAGATTCGGGACGTTCTGCGTCCGAACCATCAGAAGAATTTCGCCGAGCAGCCGGATGAGGCTCTTGGGCCGAGTCAATTCTGGCCTTTTTCGACGACTTCTGCGATCTGACTCTACCAGACAGCTTAGGCTGTTCCTTGACCACAGCGAGAGCCAGAGCATCGGAGTCTTCCACGACGAGATCCATCGAGTCTTCATTATCCCTGTTCTTGTTTAAATCGGGGCTGCCTTGCAACTCCAACTCTTTCTCAAATTCGACCTGGAAGGATCCAGATCTGTCCGCTCGACGCAGACCTGCAAGCGTGGAGTGTGCCATAGCTTCCTCATGTGCGAATTGGGACGAGGGGTCTTTTGAAGCCCCTACCGGCTTCCACACTTGACCTAGGTTCGAAAATGTGTCAAACAGCTTGTTAGTGAAAGACGATGTGTAGGAGGAAATTGGGGGGGGGGGGGATACCTCCCCTACTCCCCCCTTTTGGCCCCCGGCTGCCAGAGGCTTTCCCTGGGCGAGCCGGGGGGGGTGCACGTTTCTGCCTGGGTCGTCTTCGCAACAGCAACTGGTCAACATCTGGGTCTTGCTGTTGAGTGTGCGGACCTGAACGCTTCAGATTGGTGCATTCGTCATCTGAGTGGAACCACCATCTACAGTGAGAACACCATGGGGTAGTAGGACAGACTACGTCTACCATAACCGACTCGTCTTCCGACAAACCAATTGTCAGGGACTGGTGGTAGGAATAACGTGCCTGCGATTCCAAGTCAAAACGAACGTTTGCAATTGAAGGCTCGGACTTATCCGGTTGATAATCGTGAATTTTCAAGATTTTACCCATCGTTTTCTCAACCTGAAAGCTCAGGTGGAAAATGGCACTCACCGGCACATTGAGGCAGCGAATCCAGAAAAACTTATATTTCAACGTTTCTCTCAGATCAGCCATGTCATTCGGGGGGAGGTATGAACGAAATTCTACTCTATAGGAAGAATCCCCAAAATCAATTCTGTCTGAGCCTACCTCCTTCATCCAATCAGCAAGGGCTTTAGATCCAGTGATGTAGGTTGCCAGATTTTTTCCCTCGTGAATAAAACACCCCTTCTTATGTGTTTCTGGAATAATACCTGCCTTGGTCCATGCCGATTCATAGACACGAACCAGCTGCTTCTTGGTGGGGATGGAGGTAACATCATCGCTATCATACATCAATACCACTGCCGCTCGTATAACCATTCGTCCTGGATGGCTTTGATCTGTGGGTCTAGATACAGGTGAGAATGATGTGGGCCGATATCCACATCGCCATGGTGTAGCCCTTCGGGCAGTTTCCCTTCGAGGTAACACGCTTCCAACTGTTGACGAACCTGTTCTCGAAGAGCCGGGTCAACAGCAGGAGGGCCAGGGGAGAAATCCTCTCCCCCCTCCATCACAAGTGAAGCGTGACAGGGGGTACCAATAAAATAGACGTTAAAAAACTACTGCCTGTCTGTTAATTAAAAAAATCCAAAATCCCAATCATAACCACCGCAGCTAGATACAGTCAGCACCGAATAGGAAGACCAGGTCTTGTAAGAAGAGAAAAGCAGAGAAGGTTAGCATCCGAGGCACCAATTGAAGGAACAAGTGTTAGAGCCCGTGGTACCCTGGGGGAAGAAAAGTTACCGCCAATCGATGAACAAAAGCGAAGGCTGCTTCTTAGGCTTACCCCATCCGGGCTAAGCCATACATGGAAGAAGGTCCGGAGAACGCTGAAGTGCCGTCTCCAAGCTTGAAAGCGTAAACTCAAGGAACTCCTTGTAGTACGTAACCACAGAAACGAGCACGGGGTGAGAGCGCAGAAGGAGAGTGCGGGCCGCCCAGCCGCATGGTCCTCGCAAGTGGACGCATCACCTACACGGCGATGTGGGCGCCTCCACGAAGGAAATCAAAGCTGAAACGCGGAGCGGTCGGCAAAATCCCGGGTCATATGCGTGGAAGGAAAAGGGCGGAGCGCTAACTAGGGTTAGCGTCCCGCCACGCGAAAATAGCGCAGAATTAGCCGCCGCCGCCTCTCCCCCCCCTTTCTCTCTAGAGCAATATCAATATAAGCCATTTCTGTTTTCTCGATTCTTGGTTGAGTCAGGAACACATAGTTGTCTTCTTGCCTTTCTCTTGCCTTTCTCTTTTCTTTGGGACTCAGCGACACCCGATATGGGCTTGGCCGGTGATGCCTCGCTCATAACCAGAAGCCGCCTGCACATATGTGAGGGACGCCGGGCCCGTTTCCCGGTTTGTATAATATGAAACAGAAAAAAAAAAAAAAAAAGGCCGAGAAAGGTATCCTTGCTATCTTTTTAGCAATAGCACTTCGTGCTCTCGCCATCGTCGCCGTCTATCGGGGACGATCACGATGTGAGTTCTCCGGCTTGCCCGTTCGTTTTCCCTTTTTTGTCATTCTTTTCCATTCTAATTCTTTACCTGGTCGAAAAAGAAAATAGAAGAATTCCCCGCATGGTCGGTGTTGCACCGAATCGACACTGCCGCTTTATCTTTCCCAGGTCGCATTGCAGCGAAGGTACCCCTCCGTCGTTTGCCCTTCGTTTGCCTGACTGATCCTTGCGCGCCCACGTGGCTTTCAGTTTATCCTGAAGTCTATCTCGCTACAGAGGACGCCAGTGGAAAGTTCTCAGGCCCTCATTTTCCCAACGTCTTCCCCATTCTCACACCCATTGTCTTCGTCATCATCGTCGTCGTTGTTGCGATTCTCCTCCTCCTCCTCCTCCTCCTCCTCCTCCTCCTCCCCCTCCTCCTCCTCCTTCTTCGTCTTCTTCTTCTTTCTCCTCCTCCTCCTCGTTCTTCGTCTTCTTCTTCTTCCTCTTCTTCCTCTTCTTCTTCTTCTTCTTGTCGTTGTCCTTGTTCTTGTTCTTTTTGTTGTTGTTGTTGTTGTTGTTGTTGTTCCTCTTCTTCTTCTTCTTCGCCGTCTTCGCCTTCTTTGTCTTCTTCGTCGGTTTCTCCGGGCCTGATTTCAACCTTCAGAAGAGTCGCACAGCGATCTTCTCTGTCTCTCGATCTGCTCCATATCCTCCTTGGCTGCCTACTCCCTCTCCTCACCGCTCTCCACCATCTCCTCCTATGCCGCCTCCTGCACCTCCGTGCACTCACTGGTCCTGCTCGTCTGTCTACTCGATCTGGAGCACGTGTACCACCCAGTCTGTGTGTTTTGTTCCTCCGGAGCATCCGGATGGCGGTGCATCTTTCCATGTTCTGGCGTTCTGTGCCGGAACAGAACGCCAGAACATGGAAAGATGCATGGCGGATAGTTGCATCCTGATGGCGGTGCATCTTTCCATGTTCTGGCGTTCTGTTCATCTTTAGGGAGTAACTGATCCGGCTAACCAGATAATGCTTGAAGCCCTGAAGGGTATTGGGCCATGGGTGGTCACTATCGGAATCGCCACACCACTGAGTCTCTCGAAATGTGCAAAATGAGAATGAACTTCCGCCAAGAACATGGGCAGATGTGCCCGCCACATTTTTGACTTTTTCACGTTTTTTCAGAGAGGTGGTGTGGCGAGGCCCAATTTTCCCTTCTTGATCTCCTTGTCGTCCTCCTCCCCGTTCGTCTAATGCTGTACTTTTCTTTTATTTTTAATTTGGATCATTTCTCGATTTATGCGTGTCATATCCTTGCGCAGGGGCCATGCTAATCTTCATTCTCTGTATCGTTCCAATTTTAACGGATGTCCCGAAGGCCGTGTACTTCCTTTTGATTCGCCTCACTCTGCTGTTCTTGATCTTCAGTACATGCGCCAAACGTGCACCCTAGCTTACCGCCGTTTTTACCTCTTTATCCTCCTCCTCCCGGTGGTCCCCCTTCCCCTCCCCCTCCCCCAACCCCTCAGCTCCCCCGCCCCCTTCCCCTCTCTTTCTGTGTGTAGGTCTTTGTGTGAGTCTCTGTCTCTCGTGCACGCCTCCCCTATTTCGCCTAAGCCCTTCTCTCAGCTCACTTGTTCTCTCTCTCCTAAGGAAGTATTTCTAGGAGCGTACAGATCGTTTCAGAGAAATTCAGACCGTCCGATTCCCACCGTTCAGCTTTGCTTCTGGGTTTTTTCTCTTTGGCAATCGGACTGTCTGAAACGATTTGTACGCTCTTACAGATCGTCAGGCCCTTTTTTTTTTTTTTTTTTTTTTTTTTTTGAGAAAGTGCGCAGCGCCCAAGGCTCCAATTTCTCGACGGTGTTTTCACTCCAATTTCTCGACGGTGTTTTCACACACGGAAATACGAAACAAAAAGGCAGTACCGACACCGGTTATGGATTGGACTGCCTTTTGTTTCGTATATACCCAACACGTGCCTTTTGCGTAAATACCCTACAACAGAAGATGACTTGCATATATACCCAACACGTGCCGTGTCTGGATTGGAAAAAAAAACATAGCGCGGGGAAAGAACAAGCTCCAAAAATAGTCTCCTTTCTCTCTTCGCAATGGTGAAACTTTCCCCGGCGAGCGCGCTGAATGGAGCAAAAA